GGCAACCATGCCATGAAGCACAAGGCAACACCAACAAGGAAACCACACAGCAAGGGACGACAAGGCTAGCGGTCGATTAGCACGGCAACCATGTAGTGGAGCACAAGGAAGCACCGACAAGGCTACCCAACTACAAGGCGTGCAAGCAAAGGACACGGAAGGCACGACCAGCAGATGAGCGGCAAGGCAGAGGAACACTGAAGCACAATGCAACACCAGCAATACGACCACACCACACAGCGAACACAACAATTTTCAGAGAACCACATGCGAAGCAAGCGGGACAGTCAGCAAGGCAGTGGCAGAGCGCAGACGAGGCATCCACACATCCACACGAAGCAAAGCAGCACATCACCTACTCGCATCATGATTGAACACCGCAGACTGTTGGTTTCCACCACCCACTGAGCCAGGGAGTCCCGCAGACTGTTGGTTTCCACCACCCACTGAGCCAGGGAGTCACTCCGACGGCCATTGGTCGTCACTCACAGGCAGCACAGACATTCCCAATTGAGCAGCCCCCAAGGAGTGCAGTAGGCACTCCAAACAAGGAACCACGGACTGTTGTAATACAAAATCAGAGGAAAACATCAGAGGGAGAACAAACGACTGAAAAAAAAGACAGACATAAAACTGTTTTTTTTGGGGTAAGTTCGTTTATTTCGAGTTGGCACGTGCTTTCTTTGCCGACACGTGTTTTTTGTGCCTTTAGAGTTTGTAAACATGCTGTGTTGCATACCGTATAGGTGCAGACCAGAACAAGAACCGACCTTTCAATACAAGGTATAAGATAGCACAGCGGAAGRCTTAGATACCAGTGATCCGAACAATCAATGTTGTAATGCAGCCCTGAACATACATCATCATCATCGTTTCATAGTGTGAATGGGTCTGGCGCTTCACACAGGAAGACAGCGCCAGCCCAGAACATGCACAGACGAGGAGGAAGGGGATAGACAAAGAAGAGGGGGAAGATGGGAATGTCGTCAACACCAAGTCTTCGGCACAAGCCCAAATAGTCCCTCGTCGAACTGTCTGAATCCCAAATGTCAAGTCTGGATCCAATGTCGTCAAGTCTCAAGTCACAACTCTGTCTCTCTCTGTCGTAGTCTG